GTTTTTCGGAATACGAGCAGGATTTACGCGGAAAATTTGCCTCGGAAGGCGAGGATTGCCTCGGAACACGAGTTTGTTAATACACGTACAGGCCGACTAACGCATGGTGGCACGGCAATCGTGCCTCAGTTTACCAGTGTCTCGCGCCCAGTGACTATCCCGCCTGAATTCTTCACGAGGATTTACAGTTTTTTGTCGGTTTTTTGGCCATTTGAGCATAAAAGTTGTTATTATATATCTCGCCATGGGTCTCAAGAAAGCCATTGGTAAGGTTCAACCTAAGAAATTAGCTGTGAGTAGAGGCAGTAGAGGATGTCCCTTCTTGATTAAGAAAATGTGTGAAGTATGAGAAGAACTGCAAAGTTTTGTTGAAAAAACTCACCCAGATAAAGCTGTAGCAGACCATTGCATTGACCTTTTAAATAACAATGTGATGTCTTAATACAGACAAGTGTTAAAATGTAGGGAAAAACATGTGTCTTTAGACAGATTCTTAGTAAGACAAGCCAGTCTTAGTGGTATGCAGGCAAAACGTGCCAGTGTGTGCACACCAGTGAAGTCCTCACTCCCTGATGTTATAATGGAAGGGGACTCCCCTTCCAAACAGTAACACCTCTTCTCCTCCCTCCCTCCTCACCATCTTCCATACACCAACAGCAGTCATCAACAATGGGTAAGTAATAACTTGAACATAGTTTTGTCGATTTATTTAGATGAATTAGGTATAAAATTTAGTTTGAAGTGAGGTTTTTGGGTAGTTAGGAATGGATTAATTCATTTCCCATTATTTCTTATGGGGAAATTAGCTTCGGATTACGAGTTTTTGGAATACGAGCTGTCTCCAGGAACGGATTAAACTCTTAAACCGAGGTACCACTGTATGTCCCTTGTGAGCCAGGGGTTGTTTAATCTTTTGGCAGTTACTTGTTTTGCCCAAAACACTGTGTGTATTAGTGGCTTTAGGTATTGTATGTACTAGCTCTATCTATAAATCTAACATTATGTTTGTAACTCATCTTCTATGTATGTACTTTTACCTGAATAAATATTTTTATTTTTTATTTTTTGATTCATGAGGAGAGGACAGTGTGTTGTAGAGGCTTAGTTTTGGAGAGAAAGATATTGGCTAATGAATTTATATCCTGTGTATTATTGAATTCAGATTCCCAGTTTATATTGTCAAGTGCATTTATGAAGTTCCCTATTGCTGCTTTGCTGTGTAGTCTAAAGGCAATTTTCTTGGTACCCGAGGGTGTTATGTCCCTATTTGCTGAGAGGAAGGTAGGACAGTAATGGGTTGTTCAGACAGTGATCATTCCAGAGGCAAGGAGGGGGGGGAGGCTGTTATAATGGTTCAAGGTTGTAGCAGATATTTAAATAATTTGTGGGGGTTTGGTGACTGTGGGGATTAGCACACAGGAGTTCATGCTGTTTAGGAAGTATTCGACATGGGGGCTATTTTGTTGACAAAGGTCAATGTTGAAGTAACCTTCTAGGATGATGCAATTTTTGTAGTGCTTGTTGTTTATGACTAGGTTCCTTATATGAGAATGCAGATGTATTAGTATTTGGAAATCTATAAATAGCTCCAATAGTTATTGACAATTTAAGGGATTTGATCGAGAATTGAGCAAAGGTATCTTGACAGTAGTCGTCTTTATTGCCAACACTTGTGTTAGTAAAGTTATCTTTATAATAGATAGCTGTACCACCACCATTTTTTATCTGGCCTGTAGTTGTAAATGGCTTTATATCCGACTAAGCTGTATAGTTGGGTATGGACCTAGCCATGTTTCTATTAAAATTATAAGGATGAATGACACAAATAGTTTAACCAGCACTGGTTTAGGTGACAAGGGTATGGAGAGAACAAAGACTGCTTTTTTTTTTTTTTTACAAAGCATTAACTGCTGGGATTCCCCTATTTAAACCTCCCTTTACATGTAATAGTAAAGCATACAATTTCATAATACAGTATTTAGTGCTTTTAGACATTTAGTGGTCTTGGTGTTGTTTAGTGCTTAATTAACTCTCAATCAGACATCCTGATTCCAGGCAAGGACAGAAATGGTTGAACACTTTTCCTTTCACCTAATGCCTCTGTTCAGCTACCAGTAGATATCTGGGAGTTAGGCAACTGTTGTGGGGTTGCATCCTGGGAAGTCAGTATTTCAACCTAGGGGCAACCTCAAAACTGCTTGTGTGTATATATACACACAAGCCTACTGTCCCAGACAAAAAGAATTATAGCCCTATATCAAGTTAGAGTAGGACCTGTGCTTAATTACGATTAGAGTAGTGACACTCATCTATGTTGTGAGATGGGTATATAATTGTGTTTCCTCTTCACTTTCTAATGTGCAGAATTTGAATCATTGTACTAGTGCTACACATTTATAATTTATATATAAGAAGGTACAATGGGTTGTGAATTTACACATTTTGATTATCTTGTAAATTTTTACAAAGTCACTAACATGCCTAGTGTAATTACAACAAAAATATAACTTGCATTAACATTTAAAATATAAAATTACAGGGGATCTTATTACAGGGATTTCATATTCAATATTTGTAATTTTTTTTCTTCATATAACCACTAATCAAGGGTAGCATTTCAGGCATACCTCAACCCTAAAACTGCTCCCGTCATCATCTAGAGATGAACCCAAACAGGCCCTGTTGCCTGTGAAAGATTTAATGTACCTTGTAATAATAAAAATTCCTAAGGATTGCATGTGGGCATCATTCAGCACTAGAGACCTCTGGCTATCATTTACCATACAATATTGGGAAAACCTTCTGAAAGCCTTAATTGCCTTCCTAAGCATTATAACAGAACTTAACACCATAACAGATGCACCACCACCCACTTACTAACCCTATGATACCTAGGAACCATTGACGATATGTAAAATTTCAAAGACTCTTGGCCTAGGAAGACATACAAGATATTAAAAATTACTTGAAAATTAATTTTCAAAATTTGAAGGTGTTAACATTTCTTCACCTCACTGTGGCCCCATTTAAATTATTAGAATTTCCACCCAAGCCCCCCCCCCAAAAAAAAAGCAAATGTTTTAAGATATAGAATGGAAAAATTTAGATTTTACGTGCACCAGAAAGGGACCTAAAAATGGGTGCAGTTTGATGCTTATTTTTATTGTGAGGATTATAATTAGTACATTTTTGGGGTAATACTTAGTACTGGGTGTTAGTACTTAGTACTGGGTGTTAGTACTTAGTACTGGGTAGTACTGGGTGGTACCTGGGTGTTAGTCAGCTGTCACGGGCTGCTTCCTGGGGGTGGAGGCCTGGTCGAGGACCGGGCCGCGGGGACACTAAAGCCCCGAAAATCATCTCAAGATCTCAAGATACTGTACAGTGCTCTAACATTTATTTATACACAGTATATGAAAAAATTAAAATATGAAATTTAGTAATCAGCTAGTTTTCTAGTGATGCTTAATGTTAAGGAATTACCGGTACTGTTAAATTCTACAGCTTTATCATAAATTTTACTAGAACATTTACAGTTTTTTTTAGACTAACAATAACTGTCTTGGAAGCAGAAAGCAGTAGCTAACACAAGTTAGTGTAGCTATGTGCAAAATTGTTCCTATATATACAAGACCTACAGTGAACAAAGTTATCTATGCATAGAAGTGTGGGATGTAAAACACTCAAGGTAATTTGACCACACCCAGTGTGTTGTTGCTGCCACCAATGACAATGTACACCATTCACCATTTAATTATATGGATGTTGAAATACTAAAACTGTTCATGACTTATGAGAGACCTAAATTGGAATATGCAGCAGTTGTATGGTGCCCAAATCTCAAGAAGCAACTCAGTAAACTGGAAACGGTGCAACAGCATGATACAAAATGGCTTCCGGAACTAAAAAAAACAAGAGTTATGAGGAGAGACTAGAGGCGTTAAACATGCCAAAACTAGAAGATAGAACAAAAAGGTGATATGATCACCACTTACAAAATGCTAACAAGAATTGACCAAATTGACAGACGAATTCCTGAAACCAGCAACTTCACGAACAAGAGGACACAGATTCAAGCTAAAGAAACAGAGATGCCTAAAAAATATTAATTTTCGTTTGGTAGATGGTTGGAACAAGTTAGTTGAGGAGGTGGAGGAGGCCAAAACCGTCAGTAGTTTCAAAGCGTTACATGACAGAGTACTGGGAAGACGGGACACCACGAGCATAGCTCTCATCCTGTAACTACACTTGTATTTTTATTTATTTATTTATTTATTTATTTATTCATTTATTTATTGTTATTTATACAAGAGTTCTTATATTCTTGTACAGCCACTAGCACGCATAGCGTTTGGGGCAGATCCTTAATCTTAATTTTCCCCGGAATATGACCCACCAAATCATTTAACAACCAGGTACCCATTCACGGCTGGGTGAACAGAGGCTATAGTTAAAGATTGGCGCCTAGTTAATCCTCCCCGGCCAGGATACGAGCCCAGGCCAAAGCGCTCACGAAGCACCGGGCGAGTGCCTTACCACTGCACCACAGGGACTGCTTTATTACTGCTAGGTAATTACACACATTAGGTTCCATAATGATCATGTTGAGTGGTCGACGTGTCATTACTGGTGACAGACCACCACCTCGGGTCACAAGGATAACACCATTAATGTCTCCCCCACACAATAATGACAGCTAACCCATCAACACGTCAAGAACTGTGTATTCAGTGATTCATTACACAAACACAAACATGAATCATCACACCTATTCATCACTACTCGGTATTACCCACACAACACCTCCCCCCCCCCCCAAGCAGCCAAATGCCTGCAGACACGACTGCTCGGGCAGCCTGGGGGTGCCAGCAGCAACAGTGCCCGGGTGCCAGATATATATATACAGTGGCGAGACGTCCAGACGAGAGAGAAGGGGGCGAGACATCAGATGACAGGAGGACGTCAACCCAGCCCCTCCTCCTCTCTCCTTACTCACTCACCCATTAGAATTCTCATCTGTTTCTTGCCGAAGAGGCGGGAGAACACCGTTGATAAGGTCAGTCCCATGGCGTCCTAAATCCTGAAGTTGGGAGTCTCAATATATTAGAAATACAGTAGCGTGGCGCGCGTGCCACGTCCGTGTAGAGGTCGTGACGTCACCTGGCTGCGCATGGCATTGTGGGAGCGCCAGGTGTCCCATATATCTTCCTTCATATTTACTTGTTTTACACGCCTACTGTACTAAAACATTAATTATAATTCGCCAATTCACGTGAGACAATTTAAACCATATGTTTAAAAGTTAAATTAAAGACTTCGAGGTTATGAAATATGTCCGTACACTCTCCGAAGTTGACAAAGATGGCGCGCTTTGCGTGGGACAATTCACATAAACCATATTGGTTGTCTCAAAATGTACCTAATACAAAACAAATTTAAATCGTTTACTTCAAAGAATACTACGGTCTAGTTTCTCATCCTATTATATGATTCTGAAAAATTTCTATCACCTGCCACGTAATGGGTATTAGGTCCAAACTAAAATAAAAATATAACTATGCTACACTCATTGTTACCATAGTTTATCAGTTAGTTTAGTTCCATTTATTATGCTTTATGAAAGGTTAGAAGTCTGTAACCTTTCTATCACTTGCCACATGATGGGTATTAGTTCCAAAATAAACTATATAACTATGTTACACTATTTACCATTGATACAATAGTTTATCAGTTTAGTTCCATTTATTAATGCCCGAAACGCTTGCGTAATAGTGGCTTTAGGCATTGTATGTACTAGCTCTATCTATAAGTCCACCAATCTTTGTAAAAAAAAATCTTGTATGTATGTACCTTACCTAAATAAACATTTATTTATTTATTTATTTATTATGCTTTATGAAAGGTTAGAAGTCTGTAACCTTTCTTTTCTGCGGTTGAAAGAAAACGCGCTCAGATTGGGGACTTGTTTATTTTATAATAGTAAACAATAAATTAATAATAAATAATAAATTAATAATAATAAATAATAAATTAATAATAAATAATAAATTAATAATAATAAATAATAATAAATTAATAATAAATAATAAATTATTATTATTATTATATAATAATTAATATAATAATAATAACAAATAGTATACAGATAAGCAATTATTTTTAATGAATCAAATAGCTAATTAGGGTGAATGATAAATAATTAGTGACTAATGCATAACAATAAAGTATTAAAGAATAATTAAAATGAAAATCATTATAAAGATAAAGTATTAAATCAATTTTTTTTTAATTACAATTACTAGTTACATCTATAGTTAGTAATTGAAAGTTGCATTATTTGAATTTACACTAATTACAATTCATGGTAATATTTCTTAGCTATCTGCAAGCTTATCACTTTGTGGGTTCCGGCGGAGCACCCCCAAAGATACCGCAAATGCTTAGCAAGCTAGAACTCATTTACTCCAATCCTGATCCCCTTGCTCTAAATGTCACAGTAAATACTGAGCTAAATAAAGTCCATCTTTGGCTAACTGCCAACAAACTCACCCTTAACATTAACAAAACTTTCTATATTCTGTTTGGCAATAAATCCTCTAATCAAATAAATTTCAAAATAAACAATATCCAAATGTGTAACAAATTAGATGGCAAATTCCTTGACGTTCTCGTTGACAACAAGCTGAATTTCCAGGAACACATTCTAAATATATCAAAAAAAGTTTAAAAAACTGTTGACATTCTTTCGAAGATCAGATATTATGTACCCCGCCCTGCCCTGGTGACTCTCTATTACTCCCTTATCTATCCATATCTCAACTATGGTATTTGTGCTTGGGGCTCTACTACCCAAAATCACTTACGTCCTCTAATTACTCAACACAAAGCTGCTATTAGGACAATATCCAACTCTGGCCCCAGACATCACTCGGTACCCCTACTCAAATCTCTGAATATGTTAGACATTAAGTCACTGCACATTCTTTCATGTGTATTATACATATATAAAACGCTAAACTATAATGCCAATCCTGATCTCAAAAGCTTCATAGAAGGTTGTAACAGAACCCATGAGCACCACACCAGAAATAAATACAGTTTTGATATTCCTAAAGTACGACTTAATCAAACTAGAAATGCTCTACAAATCAAGGGGCCCAGAATGTGGAATGACCTTCCCAACCATGTTAAAGACTGTACCTCTCTCAACCAGTTTAAGTTAAAAACGAAGCTATACCTAATAAATTCCCTGTAACCTACCTTACCCTTCTATTGTCAACCAATGTCTGTTTTTTTTTTTAAAGAGCGCTGTTTGTCGACATAATTGCATTTGTGCTGCTTCTTCATCTATGTTTTCATTTCTTGTTTTCATTCTACTCATTATGCTCAATTAGTATTAAGCTTGTCATTTAAGTTTATCATGCCCGAAACGCTTTGCGTAATAGTGGCTTTAGGCATTGTATGTACTAGCTCTACCTATAAGTCAACCAATCTTTGTAAAAATTTATTGTATGTATGTACCTTACCTAAATAAACATTTTATTTTATTTTATTTTATTTTATTTTATTTATTACTCCCTCATCTATCCATATCTCAACTATGGTATTTGTGCTTGGGGTTCTACTACCCAAAATCATTTACATCCTCTAATTACTCAACACAAAGCTGCTATTAGGACAATATCCAACTCTGGCTCCAGACATCACTCGGTACCCTTACTCAAATCTCTGAATATGTTAGATATTAAGTCACTGCACATTCTCTCATGTGTATTATACATATATAAAACGCTGAACTGTAATGCCAATCCTGACCTCAAAAGCTTCATTGAAGGTTGTAACAGAACCCATGAGCACCACACGAGAAATAAATACAGTTTTGATATTCCAAGAGTACGACTTAATCAAATTAGAAATGCTCTACAAATCAAGGGACCCAGAATGTGGAATGACCGTCCCAACCATGTTAAAGACTGTACCTCTCTCAACCAGTTTAAGATAAAAACGAAGCACTACCTAATAAATTCCCTGTAACCTACCTTACCCCTCTATTGTCAACCCATGTCTGGTTTTTTTTAAACAACGCTGTTTGTCGACCAAATTGCATTTGTGCTGCCATGTTCCCCCCCCCCTTTTTTATCTCTATTTTTATTTGTTCTCAACACATTTTATTCTTTATACTCAATTAGTATTTAGATAAGAACACTGATTTTCCCAAAAACGGTGGGTTTTCTGAGTGGAAGAGAACGTATGTCTGGAAGCTGACTTTAACCGCCCCAAGCTGCGGGCGCATTGAGCCGAGGTTATATAAACCTGGACGGAGACGGCGTGGCACCTCTTCCAAGCCAGCAGCTGCTCTTACATAACGGCTGAAGTTGTTCCTGATGTTCCAGTTGAAGCGGTCCCAACTGATAATGCCCATCCTACTGAGTTCCAGCTCCCTAGGGTCCAGCTGCTGACGCGCCAGCCCCGAAGTTCCAGCAGAAGCGTTCCAGCCGACGTGGTGACTATTAGCACTCCTTTCAGTTTATTGTATTTGATTGTAATGTATTTCAGCTTCATGAATTAATCCCGTTTTCTCTAAAGAGTTATATTCCAGCATTATTTGAGCATGATCTGTTTTGCAGTCGCACTTCCCTTACCGCTGCAGTTTCCCCCTTGGCCCGTTGCCGCTAATTTTGTATCTTCGGCAGCGGCCGAAGATACTCATCATTCCCTTGTTGGCTCCCAGGTTCTATATGGTCCCTAATTGTCTTGCAGTTGGATTTCTACTTATATCCGAAGTTTTTCCCTGGTGGCCAGTTGCCACTATTTATTTATCTTTGGCAGATGTCGATGCACCAGTTGCCAATGTCCAGCTGCAGGTGTTCCAGCTGCCGATGTTCAGAGGCAGGTTTTTACAGTTTACATTTGGCAACTGTTGTTTGTTACGCCCTTATTTTGCCCTTGTTGACCACTAGTGTTAGTGTTGTGCATGCTACGTTATCGTTGGTTTGTTAAGGTTAGGGTTTCCCTGCTTACTTCCTCCTCCCCAGTGTGGGACATTTACTTATTTATCTATTTATACAGTTCCTACTGTATCATACTACTACTTATTTAAGTTCTTTATTATTAGGTCCGGGTTTTAGTCGCCTTACTCCTACCCTCCCTCTGCTTTACTTGTTATCGTTTTCTCTGGCATTTCTCGCCATGCCCTCGATCGGCCCGTACTAAGCCCATTAGCTGGGCCAGCCATTACGCCCTTAGCGGGAGCCCCTGTGGAGGCCTTAGCTGGGTGGGCCCGCCCTGTTAGCCGGCTAATGGTCCTGCGACCACGTACTTTGGAAGGAGTATTTTGTGCTTTTCCCTAACCTTCTAGCGCTTATATCTCGTTTACATTTTCTTAGAAAACCTTTGTTATATTTGTAAGGTACTATTTATTTCTTGCGAATGTATGTATGTGTGTGTGTGTGTGCATATGTATGTGTATATATATATATATATATATATATATATATATATATATATATATATATATATATATATATATATATATATATATATATGCAACAATGATCACAAAAACACTGATCCAAGTATGCAGAATAACCACATATGAAAAATAGAAAATGCTTAACGCGTTTTCGGCTAATTCGCCTTCATCAGAGCAAAGTAGAATCTTACTTTGATTTGCAAAGTAGATTCTACTTTGCTCTGATGAAGGCGAATTAGCCGAAAACGCGTTAAGCATTTTCTATTTTTCATATGTGGTTATTCTGCATATATATATATATATATATATATATATATATATATATATATATATATATATATATATATATATATATATGTATGTGTATGTATATATTCATTAGTTGCTATACTAATTTACAGTACTGTCATTCAATTTTTATTTCCATCTTGTCCGTAGTAATTTATTATGAGTCTGGGAGTTGGTTTACTATTTTCGTCCTTATTTCTGTTGTTTTACTATATTAATTACATTAATTATTTTACATTTACGGATCCCTAGCCTTCCTGGTGTCCATTTCTCTTTGCCTCAGATCCCCAGATCTTGAAGTTCTTGGGGTACTGCTGCTCGCAGAATGCTCATCGACACTCAGACTAAACTCATTTACGCCTCATAAGGCAGTTTCTTAGGCTAACTATTCAGCTCTTAACATGCTTTTCGGAGGCC